GCTACGCAATGCGACTGACTTGGGATGGGTTGGGAGGTTAACGTTCGTTTCTATTTGCGCACCCATACAGAAGGAACTCTTCTATGCTACGCTACACAATGCGACGCGCGCTATCGTGCGCACACATGTTTTCGTGTACGCAGCGTCGGCAAAAGCTCTACGTGCAGTGGGAACAAGCGTATGCTGCTGCTTGAAAGTGTGCTGCTTGATTGTGGATGCGGGTTGGTGCGGAAGACTCGTCACGGCAGGTCACGTTCAGTTCCCTTTTTGTCTTCGCAAAAAAACGTACAAACGTTTAACATGTCACAGTCCTAAGTAAGCCTGAGGCGGGATTTGTATATATACATATGTATATATCTATAGATTGTTTTTTTCATCACTCTTGGGTACTTGAGATCAGGACCGCCACGGAATTTGCGTTGACGGTTTTCTCCACATGGACCACCATTTTGAGGGAGGATGAGCAACCATGTGTCTTGGACCATAGCATCCTGAGAGAATGCGGAGCCACAGTTTTGCATGAAATGCGCATGACTTCCTTCGCACATTCCATGACTTTAAACCGGAATTGATTGGATTCTCAATATGGACCCTTGGAAAACAGTTTTGCTCTACCACCTTCGAATTCTTCTGGCCATCGTGGCGTTCCACCCTTCTCACCTGGACTTTGCGGTGACCAAAAACCCTTCCAAATTGGCAGAAAAGGTGTCCAAATTGTTTTTTTCTGGATTTGCCAGTGCTCTGCGTGGGCCAAGACCGCAGCCGCAGGATACATGGGAGCTTTGTATCACAACCGACAGCTCACGTGCTGCTTCTGCAGTTGCAACCTCTTCCTGGCCGTGCTTTCGATCGCGCCACGCGGCGACATCGACGGTGTTTTTCGGATTGGCCCAAAACGTCGACCGGGTGCCGTGCACCATCGTGGGGACCCGTGGGGATGGATCTGAGCCGCTAAAGTGGACTCCGGGCCAGTGCCCCGAAAAATGAAGGTCTCTAGGTCAATGAATTCGTAGGTGGCACTTCCTGGACATTCAGATTTTGAGCGGCTTGGAGACATAGATATTACTTCTACTCTGCGCGGCGATGCATCATGCGCCTGAGTCATTTGGGGTGTCCATCTGGTCGGCGTTCCTCCCGAGAGATTCGTCCTATGTTGTGTCCACCAAGTGGCGCCAGCCGTGGCCCGGCCCGTTTTTCTTCCAGAAAAGGAGGGCCGCGCATTTTTTTGCAGAACATCAACGGACTGGTGTGTCGCATACGGTCGTGCCGGACTGTCCAATTTTCATGGGTGATAGAAACAGAGAGATGAGACAGATTATATTCATATTCATATGTATATATATATATAATACAACAGAAGCAAGCGGTGACAGCGATTTTTAACATGGTTTCAGTGTTCGACGGTTCGGTGCATTTGTCGGGTCTTTTTCGGTACGGTGTTTCTCCCAATGCGAATTCCGTTTTGTGCCATGATCCACATGAGCGTCGTTCCAAACCATCGTCGTGTGGTGTGCATGTGCACCAAGGTCCTTCACACGTCAGGCACTCAGACATCACGTCTATGCAGCAAATCGTTGTATAGTGGAAGAACATCAGAAACAATCAATCTTTGGGGTCTGTCCTATTACCTGTAAGAGTCAGTAAACAATTATCACTATTTTTGGACAAGGCCTGCAACCAGGCCCCATCGTCATCCACTGGGCCCAGGTAATATAGACCCAATCAATCTTGATGTTTGACCTCCAACTCACTTGACATCAAAGTGGGACATTGGGCCGTGGCAGCTTTTTCAGACGGATTTCTTATAGAAAGTGGGGCAGCTGGCTTCCTTTGATAGTGAGTCAGAGTATAGTTGCTACGGATGATGGATGGCAACGAAAGGCAAGACAGGAGATTCGTTGGAACTGCCAGTAGCTGGCTGGATGAAGATGAGTTGAGTGTAGTTCAGCAGCGCTTTTGGCACACAAAGAACAAACGAATCCCGGCCAGACTAGTTTTGAGGATCCCCCATATTTTACCAACACTTGGGATGACGGAGCCAAGGTTTTGTTTCGAGACTGATATATTTTGGTAGGTGCGGTGACACAGATGGCCGTGGGTCAATGCCAAAAGCTTGGAAAGCCGTGGTGGACGAGTATGAGTATCCCAGGTCAGACTATTCATGTCCGGGGTGAGGTGTAGAGGGTGTATGGAGCTAACAGGTGTTATATAAGTCCACCACCCCAAAACCATGGGGTGCTTCTGAACACGCCGCATCAGGCCGAAACAGAGTCCAGGCCCAGCACCTGGACACCCCAGTACCAGAAACAGTTCGTTTCCAAGTTCTGGCTCCAACTGGCTGGGACTGGGGAATTCCAACTCCTCTTTCTGCTTAGGAAATCCGGGTGGTTCACCCCCCCCCACCCGCGTTTCTGCTTCGCTTCGCCCAGGTCTTGTGATCCGGCTATTTGAAGTGAACGGGAACTGTGACTTGGAGTCCGACGACAGCCAACGAGCGCTCTGCGAGATGTGGCTGGACCGGGCGGTTTGAGCACGGACTGGCGGGACCGACCGGGCGGACCGGATGGACCTGTGAGCACGAACTGAAGGGGGAGGAGAGCCGCAGAGTCTTAGTTGAACTCGTCCCGGATGCTTTTGGTGAGGACCTGGGATATACAGTAGTTTCAGAGTAGATGGCACAAACCCAAAGATGTCCTTTATATGGGGGTCCAAATCAACAACCTTTTGGGGATGGTGCCATCTACACTGAAACCATTGTAGATGAGCAGCCAGGCCCCATCTGATGCCATGTTATATACGGTCGTGGTCAGCAGCGGGGCGATCTCCGTCGAGTGCTTCCTTTTTCTGCTCACCATAGTTGGACACATGACAGTTTGTTGCGCAAGAGGGGCTCGTATCTTTGAAGAACCCATCCAGCCGGTGCACCTCGTAGGACAACGGAGTTGACAAGATCCTCGGCTGCACGGGAGTCCCGCGGGTGATGGAGGAACCAGCCGTGGAACTTCCGGTCGTCCGGAAGGTCCTGGGCTGGTAGGTTGGAATTTAGATGTACAGGGTGTTTTCATTCTATACACCTGGCAGGCTCGAAGACTGTTTGATGGAAGACTGGAATGGCGGGGGTCCTTCCCCTTGCAGGCTGGTGTTCCAGACACGGGGATGCCATGTGCATCTAGAAGCCCGACTTGTTCCTGGTGTATTCTCTTGGTTGGCCTTTTGGAAACTCGGTTTTGTTTCTGGCGCTTGAACGACAAGGAACTCCGGCAGATCAGGGATGAAGAAACGTATGACTCCATAATTGTAATTGTATACGTGCAGTCCGCGCAGTGATGATCAATCTGATTCAGTTTTTCCGTTGATGCTTTTCGGAAGCTGGGCTGGGATGCCAAATCCATCCTTTCTGAGGCACCAGAGTTCGTGTTTCTGAGAACATCTGAGAACTCATCTACCCCAAGAATCCGGACGGGCCCTTCATGGCAGGGCCCGAAGCAAACCCATTTGGTTCAAGAAGTGTATGTTCGATGCTTTTGGAGCGTTTCTTCAGGTGAATGTCATTTTGTTCGCTACTAGGGGCTCCTGGCCTTACTACTAGGAGCAAGGACGCTACCGCTACTAGGAGCAAGAATGCTACTAGGTTCCACAGCCGCCCCCAAGACCCAACCATGTGGCCCAGAGACGCTCCAATTCCTCACAAAGCGGGAGCAGTTTGGGAGCATCTCCTTTAGGTTTGTCCGTTTCTTGTGGCCATATGGTTGTATGGCAGCAACTGTCAGGTATGTCTTTCTGGTGAATCTCATGTGCAGCTCCACCTTGTCGTGTTGCGCCTTCTGGGCTGGCCACATGGCAGCAACTGTCGGTGGAATTGCGGGGGTCTTGCGAGCATACAAGCTCCTGCTCGCCTATATACTCTTCTATGTAATTCTTTTTACAGTATACATGTTCATTCTCTTTCTCATATGTAACGATCCTTGAACACTTTGATGCTTCTTCGACGCCAAGAACCTAACATGTACTTAGAATAGGTCATACTCTCACGAAAGCCGACAGGCAAGGCGTTTCATCGTAGCCTGGTGGGGTCAGCGGTTCTGGGCGGAGGCTAGTTTTAGGTGGTTGGTGAGAAGATGCAATGCCGAAGTTGTTGCGGCATCACTGGCAGAAAGTTGTCTGGGGCCACTTCCAAGATCGTCAATAAGCCCACCATTCTACTTCGGCAGGCGTCTCGGAACGGGTTCTAGACCTCAGCGCTGTGGCACCTCGGTCGGGTGCCAATCTGGATACTTGATAAGCCGGAAAGCCGCGCCGGGCTCGCCAGGCACACCACGGAACAGAAGACCTTGACCCTCGGCGCCTTGGTCGACCTGTTCCTCTACCTGTACAAGTTTCTGGCTTGGCGGATGGAGAAATTGGCCTACCCGGCGCATGTGTTGACGGTGCGGCTGTGGGGCCTGGCAGAGTTCACCTCACTGGAGTGCTCGATGCCACATCTCTGCATCGTGCAGCACCCGCTGGGACGCTCACCCTGCCCCTGGACGAGGACCGCTTCATTGTGAAGATCCAGACGATCCCGTGGCTGAAAGTGGCACTCTGACGGGTGCACTTGGCAGACTATTGCATCTGTGCCGGTATCACGCCTGAAGTGGCTGATACCGAGCACTACGCTCGGAGCAGCGAGCAGTTCCTTGCCCTTACCACGCACGCCACTCATCCAACTACCCCATCACATGGCGCGACGGTTCGCAGTTCGAGGCTGAACATTTGCATTTTTGTAAAGTACCAAAATGGCGATCTTTTTTTTTTCGTATTTTTCAAAAAGGACAAAAATCAAGATCAACAAAGACAGCCGCCAAAAGACAAAAACATATAAAAAACATACGACCAACGAAAAAAGAATACCAAAAACAAACTATAAAACACATTGAGCAATACAAAGCAACAATTACAAAAAATACAAAGAATACGACCCGCGAAAAAATAGAAAACTACAACTCAATTACATACAAAAAATTACGACCCACAAAAAATACCCAAACAACAAACAATACGACCCGCGAAAAAAATGTACAAATACAAAGTTTGACGAAGCGGGTTGCAAAGCTAAAATTTTCAATTTATTGTTATGCTGACGTGTCGACGAGGGTGCTTGCTGATTTTGTGGCCCGATTGCCTTTGCTTGTATTTTGCCACTATGCAAAAAGACAGTAAATTTGCGAACATTTTTTTGAACATCCATTTAAAAAGGATAACGTGACTCAAAATTCAAGTGTGTTAGTGGGTGCTAGTTGCATTGTGGCCCTCATTTGAGTATGTTTTTTGGGAACCAGGGCCAGTCAGGACGTATAACCATGCAAAAAAGTTGTATTTCAGGGCTGTATTTTTTAATACTTCTTTTTTGTACTGTTAATGTGTTTGGGCTTCTTAGCCTCGACCGGAAAGCGGGGACTCAATGATATATCTATGTGAAGTGTTGCATCCAAGAGATCCACATCCGTACGTTTAGACTTTAGACCAGCCTACCGTGAGTATCCTAGATACCCCCCACATCGTCTCGGCTTTCGGATCAGGTCAGCATATGAGAAGTGTTGTCATCTCGCCCAGCGCCGGGCCCTGCTGGAGATGCAACATGACAGGTGAGTCTTCCCCCCCAAAAAGCAGGGCACTGGAGAAGATTGAAGGCGCGTGTGCGAACTGTTTCCTTGTCTGCCCACTTTTGTTGGTGTGCCGGAGAACGGAACGTCTAACAACGAACGGCAGCGGACTTCATGTGCTCTCAACGTTGCGAGCCTATTTTTGGGCAGGTGGGGGGTGCCTATGTCTGACTGAGAAAGGACGCCCTAAGCATGAACAGGTCGACTCCAGGATGCTCTTAGTTGACTTGTTGTGCGTTGTGCACCTGGCTGGCGCGGGTTGTTTGCATATGGCCCAGGGCTGTTATCTAAATATTGGGCAGAATGCCCACCCCAGGCTTCAAGCGTTTCGGGAACGGTCTGAAAATGAGAGACCTCAAAAGAAATGTAAATACAGATTGGTTGGGACCATTGCACGCCTGTGCGCCATTCTCAAGTTGAGCGGTTCTCTTCAGTGTTACGATGCCAACAACGCCATCATGCCCCCTTTGTTTTGGATTCTTGAGTCCTTGAGTTTCTTCCAGCCACGCGCTCCAAAGCCATCCAACCCCTCCCCGACACCACCGATTTAGATTTAGCGAGCGATAACGACCATTGTGCAAAGGATCCTAAATCTAGAACACTAATTGGTCTTGTTCATTAGGGCTCAAAAGTTGTCGTTTCCGTGTCTGGGTTACTTTGAAGTTGGCCTGAAAATACAGAAGATATCGAGCACTTGGGCATTTGCGCCAGAGAACACATCACCATCGAATTTGTTCAGTTGGTTACTTTCAACAGCCATGGTGTACACAAACACAAAGAAGATCTATCTTGTCAAAAGCAAACGGATTGGTATTTTCGTGGAAAGACGTGTTGGTTGCCCGCTCGTGCTTGAAGGCGTGGCAAGTACAACCGCCAACCAACATTGAGGGGCATCGAGACCAACAAGGCTAGTTGGCGCGAGATTCAGCGTGACCTCAGGAACATATCACCATACCCAAGAAGAATAGTTGATCGCTTCTTACCGAAAGCGCCAGCAGTTTTGACATTGAAGCAGCCAAAGCAAAACATCAACTAGCGAGAATCACTTTAAGCAATCGCGTACACAGCTGAGCAAGGTGCCCAACCAGCAGCAATAGGGAAGAGGAGGGCCGTTGACCCAGCAAAAAGCAAAACAAACTGGCAACCAGCAGCGCAAACGTCGCCGGGACGTCCAATGTACAGTATACCAGCCATACCTAAGAAAACAACTTGTTGATCGCTATCACGTGTTTCAGCAATTGTTGAATGTCTCAAGCTGGCCAGGAGCACCGCTTCATGCGGCAGCTCCGGGTGGGCGGAACGGACTTGGGGCCCAGTCGACGCGGCGCCTGTGCCTTGGGGCCTGGTTGGCCGGAGGTGGAGCCGGGCCCCCAAACCTAAACGATTCCAGAATGTATGTGAAATTTAACGCGCCGGACAAGAACAGTGTCGCAGACCAGGCCGGTGCAACGAAATTTGAAAGATCAGGGAGTTGGGACGTTCGTTGCGCAGGCCAAAGCGGCAGAGGACGAGAGGAGGAAGGCCGCAACTGTTGAGGATCCCTTGTTTGAAGGTCGGAAGGATCGAAACAGGCGGGCGCACGCTGTCAACACGGCAACACCCTGGCGGACGACAAGAGGAGGAAGGCCGCAACAGTTGAGGACCCAGGTCTGAAGGTCTGAAAGAGCGGAACAAGGGGTCGCACGCCGTGAACGGAACACTTCCCAGGCCCGTCATCGTCATCCAAGATGACTTCTTCTCTGGCCTCTCTCCGCCCCTGTCCGCAGCCCCATAGCTCGAAGCAAGCCCCGCAATTCGATTTCGAGGCCTTGCGCCTCTGGGGGCGACGGGCGCCCCTGTTGTTTGAGCTTTGAGATTGCGTTTCAATTTCCAGTGCCCTTTCCGATTTCGGGCCCCCTCCGCGAAGATGTTCCCATGGTGTCTGTGGCCCTGGCGGTGACCTTGTAAGTTTTATGCGGGTGGAACTTTTGGGAGTTATTTTGAGGCCTGGCGCTTCTTTGCACTCTTTTGCTTTTGGCTCAGCATCGGCTACACTTTGGGTGCTTGAGCGTGACGGATGCGGCTTACGCCCAACAGCGGGCCAGCGGGTGGCAGATACATTTCCAACGTTCTATTTACTAAGTGTTGCAAGCTCCTGTAGAGCACCCCAACTCTTGTAACTACTCTTTAGACGCATTTAAGTGTTAACGCGTGCGCACTGCTTTAGATGCTTGTGCTTAGTGACGTGTGATGGTTTTGATTCGACGTATCGTAATTTCGGAAAATTGTTTCGTGATGTCGACGAATATGTATGAGGTTCATGTGAACCGGTGTGTCATGTGGGATCATGTCGTGACATTTCTCAAGGCACAGACTCACATGACATACAGTCACGCATGTCATCACATGTTCTTCACTTTCACTTTCTTTTCCCACCCTTGTCCCACCCTGGCCAATTGACCGGCGGTGCCTCCATGGATCGTCAAGTTGTTTGCTCAACCTCGACATTGTTCAGGTAGTGAATAAGTGGCAAAAAGGTAAGACTTGTGGTTGTTGTGGTGGTGGCTGTGGCTGTGGTTGTTGTGGTTGTTGCTGCTTTGGTGGCCGGCATAACTCCCACCTTCGGGCCATCTTACGCCAACTTGAAGGAAGGGGGGGCACCCGGACGAGCGTGTAAAACAATAGAAAACTTCAATCATCATGTTTTGTCACAACACAAAACACAATGTTTTTTGCAGGTTTTTTGCGCGTGCGTTTCGACGCAAGAGCAATCTAGCCCCTCTGTTTTCGCCCGGGCACGCCTCCAGCCTCCTCCTTGGTGGCCCGGCGGGATTACCGGAGGTTCCGGGCACTAGGTCTACGCGTGGTTGGCGGTAGGGGCCACGACCGCAGCGCAGCCGTTCAGCGGCAGGGTCCGAACTTGCCAGGGCACCCCCTGCTCGTTTTTTCTGCCAAGCGCGTCGCAAGTTGGAAGATAAGAGCCTCATAGTGGGTGGGTGGCGCTACGGCACATAGAACAACATCTGATTTATCTAAGAAGGCTCTCATATACATGGGTGTTGGCATTCGATGTCCAACATCTTGCTGGCGTAATCTGTCAACAAGATCTTACACCCACTGTCGATCTTTTCCCCTGCGTTCCACACAATTTATGCATGATCGGCGTCTGCGTGCCCAAATCAACCACTTCGTGACCCTAACAAGCAACCGCTTTGGAGGAGTGCGCGCGGATAAGCAACGAAGTGCGCAGCTCCCCAAAGGCTCAGCAAGCCACAGGTGAAACGCAGGAGGCGCAGAGGAGTTGACTCAGCACATAAAACCGTATCTCTGTGACCACCCAGGTGTAAGCGCCTTGAACTTTGTGTTGAGCGAGCTGAAAACTGGACTCAGAGACGGGTGAAGACAGGGAAGTGTGTTTGGACTTGGCAGCGTTGAGGCTTGTGGCTCCGGGGTGCTAGGGTTGTAGTAACGAAAGTAACTACAACCCTCAAGTCAAGCCGATCAAGTAAGTTGGGGGCGACGTGTGGTTATTCAATATTGGGGTGAGCGCCTTGTACACCTATGCTTTCACAGCTGGACGTTTCAAGGTCTCTTAGGAAGATTTTGGAGGTTTCCCTGCGCAGGGAACTGTGGACTTAGGCACAGAGAACTGTGTACCGCGGGGGTGGAAAGGCCAGGGCTCAGTGGGTTTTAGGGTTAGGGTTTGGTAGGGTCAAGGCCAGGGTTCTGAGGGCTATAGTTTCTGAATGGTGTATTTTGTTGTGTTCTGGGTTAGTGGAAAGCCAAGCGATTGTGTCAGACGCAAGTTTTGCAATGGTGGCACTGTGGTGTACACCTTGGCAACGAAGGTTTGGGAGGTTTCCGAGGAGAACACCAGGATGGACTATGGTAAGTAGGTTGCGGCAAAGAAGGCAGAGAGACTTGCTGAGGGCTTGAGAACATGGCAGATTTCAACTCTGTAAGTACCATCTTTCAACACTTCGAACTTTTCATGTTGAAAGCAAGAACTTTCGATCTACCCAATTGTTTAAAAATCGTTGGTCCGATCATTGATAGTGGTTGCCACATTGTTAGAAATCGGAGGTCGATAGCAGCTACTGCGGGCTTTCTGGTGTACTTAATGCTGAATATTGTTTGAATAAGTACTTGGCTTGGCAATTTTTTGCATTCTCTTCGAGTTCTTTGTGGTTTTGCCATTCTTCTGAGGCAACATGCTTTTTCAGAAGCTCTCGCCTGAGCCTCCCAATTTCGATGATCGGCCAATCGTCGGGGAGGCCTGGGCGACTGGGTTGGAAGCAATGGCCTCCAACCAACCTAATAGCGATGGCTCCAACCTAGTAGCAATGGCCTCCAACCTAGAATGCCACGAGTCGGGAGTCCGGTGTGTTTTGGAAGAGACATGCGAAGGTGGCTGCTGACGAGCAAGGATCGTTTGTCGAAATCATGAGTGCGACTGATTCCCACTAGTTGCTTTGAAAAGCAGAATCTGCAGAGTGGAAAACCAACAATATCCGGAGAGCAGAGCTTTTGCCAGGTCGTGCAGCTCTCTGTCTCTTGGCGGCATGGACGGACTGCATGGCGGGCCGCGGAAGAAGGACGGGCATGGAAGATGCTGTTGGGAGGTTCCACTCTCCAACAGTGGAGCACTTCTTTTCGAGGTTCGCTTTGAGTAGCTCAGGTCTGATTGCTCTGACACCGCTATGTAGCCAAGGAGGACACCTCTATGGAGTCCCTGTCATAGACCAGTCATGTAAGGTGCCAAGGTCATCCGACTCCGCATGGGGACCACGACCGACTCCGCGCGGGACCCGGCCGCGTCCGAGACCGCGATTCCGAACTTGATGAGCGTGGGCAGCTCGGGCTCGACCACGCCGGGTGGACAGGTGCGCGGTGTGGTGGGCGGCTTCTCGGTGACGGGCGAAAGAGGGCCGTGGGGAGCCAAGTCCAGAGCTGTCAAGACTGAGTAGAAGACCAGTTCTATGAAGAGGACGACATGTGGGCCCCTGTCTACGTCAACCTGTTGCCTTGAATTCATACTCGACTTCGTGAGTTCGTGCGTTCGGCCAAACTCACCACTTTTGCGTTGAATTCATCCATGTCCAGTCAGCGCTTGACGTCGTGCCGTCGGGCCTCCCCTGTGCCGTGGAGGTCCTGTGGCCAAGGACGAACCATGGTTTATACAACTCTTTCTGCCACGTTCTTATCTTTTCACCGTATAAATTGGGTGGGGTAAAGTTCGGCTATGTTCAATTGGGTGCTTTGGTTTCCCTATAAAAGCTTCTCAGATTCCAATTTGGTTTAGAGGCTGGGAGGGTGGAGGCCAGGTTGGAAACCATTGCTTCTAGGTTGGAGGCCGCGCTACTAGTTACTAGGTGGTTTGGCCAAATCGATCGCAGCTCCGGACGTTCGACCTCCATATTCCAACGTCAACCGAACCATACCGAACCTTCGTTTTCGGCACCCCCTTGTTGGGTGGCAGGGACAACGAAGAACCTGATCAAGCACCCCCCCAATTTCGAGCGGTTCTTTGGGCCGTACACTTTCTGGTGAGCATTCCCAGAAACGACTGGAGTGGCATATTTACATACATTGGGGTTGTTTCAGGGGTCAATGGAGGTATGTCTTCCAGTCCCAAACAGGTCGTGCCTGGGATTTGCTTGGACGAACATGGCTTTCCACCCACCGTTGTGTTTCTCCCCCCCAAACCCACCGAGAACACCAACAGCTGGCCACGTCGAACATGAGAGGTGATGACGTTGTACACCGTCGACCGCAGCTCTCGGTCCCGTTCCCGCTCGGAAAGTGCGGAAGCCCAAGCGATGGAGCCCCGTTGTGACACACATCACTGGGCAGTGACACACGTCAAGATGCACTGCTCAACGGTGAATTTGAGCAGTTTGTGTATTAAACGACAAGTCCTGTACAGATACACACACCTACCTACAGTGGTTTCAGAGTAGATGGCACAAGTTACCCCAAGTTGGGCGGTCCCCATCTTTTGGACATCTTGGGGTCTACTCTGAAATCACTGTACCTGAAGGTGTGCTTTCACATGTTCTCACAGTCTTGGTCTTGGCTGACTGACTGGGACTCCACAAGAAAGACTATTGAAAGGAATTGAAATGGATATCAAGTGTAAAGTTGGAAGTTTTTGTGATTTGTAACCACCGAAGTTCACTTTTCGGCGCTTGTAACCATTCTTCTCCATCGTTGGAGTTTTTGTTTTCAATTTGAGAAGAGAGGTGACATCAAGGTTGTTCCTAGGATCCCGACTCCGACTCTGCATCTTTTTTTGGCTGGCATCCACCAGCCAATGTTGCATGGGTTTCAAAGAAAAACGGTCTGTTGCAGGACCACGACACGTGATCGGGAAAAGCCTTCGACGTTGGAACAAGCACATTAAATAACGTGTTTCTTGTTTGTAAACATGACACAACCAGAAACCAGCCACTTGGACATGTTTTGATTTGGTATGTTTTTGCTGCCCTTTGAACGGGCATTACATTGCACCCGGATGTGTTTTTCCGTTTCCAAACTCTTTCACCGACGAAGCGTGGGACCTCTTCCAGCGAAAGGGTCCGGTCTTAGTCGACCGCGGATGCACGAGGGTGCTACACCCGCCTCTCACGAAGCTCGATCATACCAGGAGTCATGTTCGACGGGGTGCTATCGGAGGTGAGTGGTGCCCATCCACTCACGCAAGGGGACGAGCCACACCACCCAACTCCATGTGACTCCTAGTGTGTTTGTCTTGTACCAAAACCTCGAGGTATGCACCCAGTTGCTTGGCTGGGTGGGTGGTTCGGCTCGATGTGCCGAGCCGACTTGAAGGCCGGTGGGGTGCTAAGAAGGAGCTACGAGCTGCCCAAAACTGGTGCTCAGAGGGCAGGGTCGCACCAGACCCCCTTATGACCAGTCCAAGAGCCCCCAGTGCCAAACGTCGCACCGGACGCATCAAAGGCAGTGCCCGGACCTCTCTCCCAGGCGATCTTCAGATCCGGCCGAGTCCGAGTGGCCCCAGCAGCTTGGTGGATCGAGGAGACCCGGGCACCGGGGGCCAAAGCGAGAGCCGAAGCGAGCTACAAAAGGAATCCAAGAGTTGGCGGTGTGTGAACATAGGGAGACATCTCTTATTTTCAAGGACATAAGGGATTCTTTACAAGGATTGAAGATATTCAAGGTTCTTGAGTTGGATTGAACCCTCCAGTTGATTGGGCATGGAATCTTCTTTGCCTTGACGAGGGTCCTTGATGCCTCATGGTGGTGTGACATCCAGGACACGCCGGCCCAAAGAACCCCCAAACACCTTGCGACATCCCTGAAAGGAGATGATGGTGTGTTTTTTTTTATTATGGGAATTGGATTGCTCCTCTCAGGATGGTCTGTAGAAGTTTTTGGAACAGCATGGTGACTCCAAAGATCTTTGGGGAGGATGGTATAATATATATATATATATACATATACACATACACACAAACACTCCCCATATGCGAGGCTTTGCCTTTTTGTTGTTGGCGAAGACCCAAAGCGCTGCAAGTCGGTGCGAAGACCCAAGGCCCCGCGGTAGTTCTCCTTCGGGTCCACCTACCGGGTCTTCTGGTTGTGTTCTACTAGCGACTCGCTAGGACGGAGTAGGACAGCCCTTCCGCTCTATGTCCAGAGCGAGCTCGTGTGTTCAAGAAACGATCCATTTGCTGTCTGGAGCTGTACACACAAGGCTTGGAGTCCGATCGGAGCCCGATCTCCACCCGATCGGGGCCGCGCGGTAGTTCTCACGCCCAGGTCAAAGAACGAGTCCCACGAGCAGTCCAGTTTGAGGTGCCGTGGGAGAGGAGAAGGTTCAGGATTTTCGGGTTCGGCTTCGGGTTCACCCGAAGGCCTTGTGGATCAACTGCTGGTGAGCCTTCTCTTTTTTGGGAGGAGAAGTGGGAGTTGCACTCAAATCCAATAGGTGGAACGTGAGCGGTTTTTCTGTTGTTTTTTGATGGTTTGCCTTCTGTCACTTCTAGAAGTGGTCAGGCTAGACTGGCTAGACCTGCAAAGTGACAGCGCAGCGCTGTTTGTTTTTCTTCTTCATTTTGTATTTTTGATGCTTCGAACAGCCAGAGCTGGGTCGTGTTCGGCCCAACCGCAGCGCTGGGAGTCGATCGAGGAGTTGTTGCGCCGTCCTGTCGTTGGATGGGACGCTCCGTTCCACCCATTTGAAGGTCTCCGATCTCAACACCTTCGAGACCGGCACCGAGTTCGGAGGCCGACCCAAGAAGTATCTACCACCTGACTTCGCAGGTCACCCATTGAAACCTGTTGGAAGGGCCTAACACCAAACCCTCCATGACTCGGAGACCTGTTGGGCTCGGTGCTGATCCTCGATGTTCGGACCCAATCCCTCCGAGACCGGAGACACAGCGACTCCAAAAACCACGAGTCCCTGTGGTTTTGAATGAGCAACTCCCAAAATTATACGGCTTATACATTTTGTACTGTAAATAACCTAGGTTCTTATTAATAATTATATGGGTGATACATTTACTATCATTTACTTATGTAGGTTATATATTGGGGGAATGTTCCACACTTACTTCGTTCATCATTGACTCGTTCGCTCGGGAAGATGAGCCTCACTGTCCGCTCTTTCGTTGAAGAACGCGCCCACCTTGTGTGTGTTAGACACTGGAGTCACCGGATTTGGATCGGCGTCGGCAGGTCATTTCCTTCGGGATTCCTGAGGAACATCCTTCATTTTTTGGAACGGTCAGAACCCGTCACTTTTCACTGACCATGGAGGTTTGAAGTTCTTTTCTCACCTGGGAAAGACGGAGCCATCAAACATTTGTACCAGTGAAGAACCTATCAAAGCCCGCTCGCTTGCACCAGAAAAGCCTAGTTTCTTCTGGACGGGGTCCAACTCTAGAAGTGGGAGAAGGAGGTTTTGGTTCGTTTCAATCTGGGTGCCAGCTTTTTGAGCTCTTGGCTGGATTGAATCCTGGAAATACCAAGTACATCAAAGTACATCAAAGTACATCAAAGTACATCAAGCACCTTCCAACAGGTGGTAGGTCCTGGTACTGAGTATCAAAGTACATCAAGTCCTCCCGGACAGCTGGCTTTGTTGGTCCCGGTCAGCCGGATTTCCCCCACTCCGGACGGCGGGTCGCTTCGCGGCTCAGGTGGGCGACGGGTGATGCACGGGCGATGGGTTGGGGTGGAGTGGTGGACCTGGAAAGGGGTTTACTCAAGGATGCAGTCGCAAAGCCAAGAGCTGGGAATTGGGGAATTCGGACAAATCCTGCCAGATTGTAAGAGATGTTGAGATCTGAATTTGATGTGGCGCGGAAAGGGGTTTCTTTGTGTTTTTGGTCTTTGTGTTTTTGTCTTTGTGCCTGGACACGTCTGATCTTGATATCCCCATCCATCCCAACAAGCCCAAGAGCTAGCAAGGCATGTCCTGACCGACACCTGCTCTGGTCGATTGGGATGATGCGCCAGTGGTGCCGGAGATTTTCCAATGCCAGTGGCCGCCAACACTGGGTGCAGGGGCGTTTATGCTGTTTGTCCAACAAGTTTGGTCTTTTTACAATCAGACTGGCAGGATATTCTACAGAAAGACGTGGTAAAAATCGATGGCAAAAGGGAGACCATAGCCTCAAGAGGCCAGATGTGAGGCAGCAAAACCATTTTTTCTGCCAAACATCTCTTTTGGGAGCCTCAAGGGACAGAGCGTGCGCCTCCATCCCTTTGCGGCGTGCCGGCGGCCTATCGATGTTCTCCGGTGCGAAAAGGCAGCTGGTGCAGCTTGCTCTGCTGCAGGTCATGCTCTGCAGACCCTAGAGGCCAAGAAAGAAAGATCGTGCTTGATCCGTGATAGACAAATAGATGACTGTGGCCACGGTTTCCAAGACATTTTCTGTGGTGATCTACCTTTCTATCTATTTGGGGGTCTGTATATTCAGTGCCCTACTTGTAGGTGCCCTCATGACTGTAAACCATGAAAAAAGCATTGTGATGAAGCTTTCTAGAGGTGCCACCAGAAAAGCCGTCCAATACAATAGTCAAGTGCCAAACTTGCATTTTCACAGAGTACTTATCCTATTCAGGACTTACAGATGCTTCTGAGCTACCCTTCTTCGCAGGATCGTTTTTTCCTTGTCATGAGTGTGAAATCCCGCGCTCAGCCAGCTGCATCAATTCCTCGATCGTCGCCTCCACCTCGGGGCATGCAGAATTGCATCTGCCTCGGGTTCTGGCGCCCAAAAACATTCAAGTTGCTGAGACTGCCGCAGCGCCTCCTTTTTTTTGCGCCGAAAACAGAGATCGATAGCACCCCTTCTGTCGCATCACCGAAAACGGATCAGAAAGTGAAGCACTCATACAGCCGCACGGAGGGGTTGGAAAAACATGATTCAGTGAAAACCCACGACTCCGGTTCTGAACACCTCAATTTCGCCCAGCTGCGACAGATCTCGCAAAAGCGCTCAATGAGCTGCTGGGGTGAGCTGCTCCTCCCCTACACACCCCGCGAGGAAAAGAAAGGGACATGTCACGCGAATCCGCCACGGGTGCGAGAAGGGACTTTCACTGGAAAACCCTTGGAGGATCATGGTGCATGGGAACCCGGAAGGTTTACTTTCTCTCTCTCTCTCTATTTTAGATTAAAAGCATCACCATAGGCTAAACTTATGTACACATATTAATTCAACATATTTAACATACACCATATAGCATATACTATATGAATACATATAGACAATTAATAGTCGTATAATAGTAATAGAACAACATATATTAACACATTGTATTATTGTATACATCTTTTTTTTTCAGCACAGAGTCTGACCTTCGTTGGAGAGTCTTTGGAATGGTGAGACCCAAAGACTTGCCCGTGCCAATGGGAGAACATGCACGACCAAGCGTCCAGGGAATCATATGAGAAAACAAAAGAACACAAAACGTAGAACGTCCAACGTTTGATAATCATGATGTTCATGACACAGGAGGTCAGGATATTCATCCTAGCGTACGCGTAGATTGATACACTAGCCGACCCAAAGGAAGATTGAAACTGATGGAAGAAGTTGGCCGGAGAAGAGCCTGAACGAGCATGGAAAGGGGTGCATGGGAGCGGCTGCCGCGTGGTGTGGTTCGCCCCGACCCCACCGTTCGCGAGGCGTTTGTTCTCCCGTTGGGATGCGGGCTGAGACGACCCCAACGAGAAGAACATACAACGGTGGACTTCCAAAGCTCGTCAAGCCTGCCCTAGCATGGGTTGGGCAGGCCTTCTATTGCATATCTGGACCCTTCCAGTCGGGTGTCTATCTATAGCCTCCGAAAGCAGTGCTTCCTGGGGTGTCCATGAACCACACCCCGCAGTCGGGCTCCTCCGCCTCTTTCGCTGAGCGATCTGGTGCCCCGAGGCCTGGTTGACTCTGTCCAGCTTGGCTTACACGCCCAGTCAAAGCAAGCCTGGGCCCCAAGACAAAGCGCCCAAGAGCGTTTATTTCAAAGGGCTGGGGAGCGATTGATTGTACCAGCGAAGGCTGACCGCAGCATATAGAGATGTCTGAATTTGGACGGTGAAACACGGGGACTAACAAGTCATAAGAAAGACAGATGCTTGTTAAATCCCAGTTTCAATGAATAGCAAGGAGCAACCTTGAAATTTGTAGCCTTGATTCATGCGTGCTGGGAGGTGTCAGAAGCCATTTGCTCATTCAGCGATGGTACCCATGGAAGAGGATCCAACTGTGCAACATGTCTGCCTTTTTCGACCAAACACCAGCCACGTTCAGCAGACATTTTGCACAGTTAGAGCTCCAGGCATAGGAAAACCAAAGTTGGAGATCATGTTGAAGATGGATCATGTTTTTTCTTTAGCAACCTCCGTTTTCCCTATACCCATCCACCATCCGTTTTCAGAGGAATGCGGGTCTAGGAAGGAGCCGGATGCTGCCGATGACGCCAGGGTCCCTCGGGTCGAAGGTGAAGGGGGGTGTCAACCACCCCGTCCCTTCGGCGAGGACGCAAACAGTGCCGTGCACCGAATCATACATGCCCAATGCCGTTTTCTGACAGAATAGACGACCTAGACCTGCAGGTAAGAAGACATGACTGTTCAATGAACAGTCGTAGATTTGGGTCACCGAGACATGAACAGAATAGACGACCTAGACATGGTCAAGGTTTTCTGGGGTTGGGTGCTATGCACAGCCATGTAGAGTGGGGTGGGATCATTCATCAAGAATCTACATGACTTGGGCCCACCCCATTTGCAGACGCTCCCATGGACCCCTATGTTCGTCTAACATCGACGATGTTCCGACCACCCACGGAGTGGTGATGTCTTTGGTTTTTTGTGGTCCCTCTGTAGCAGGGGTTCACCCTGGAAGTGATTTCGGTCTCCTTTTGGTGACAATGCACACCTGGTTATATGAGAGGCCATCCCTACTAGGTTGGAGGCCATCGTCACTAGGGTGGAGGCCATCGCTACTAGGGTGGAGGCCATC